ACCATACTAGGCATTTGAAATATATCATTGAACTAACTAGATGGAGATTTCTGCCTTTATGGAGCTTACATTTTAATGGGATAGGGAAGTACAGAGAGGAGGAAATACACATAGTAATAATATTATAGGCTAAAAATTTTCAAAATGCAGGCAGAGAGAGGCTTCATTTCCTTGCTTTTAGACTGAAGTTCAGTCTTTCATGTGGCCTGTGAGGCCTGCTAACTCTGCTGTAGGCTCATTCTTCAGGCCCAGCCATGCTGACTTCCATCATACTTTCATTCCTTAGCCTCTTTTCAGAGTCACTATGTCTGAGAAGTGTCCTGGAACTCTGATTTTGAATTAGAGATCCCCTGCTGTCATAAGCTCTCTCTACTTCTGTACAACATGCATCTCAATAATGATTTTTTTTTTTTTAGTTGCTGTGCAATTATATTCAAAGTCTGTCTTTTCCACTAGCCTGTAAATTACTGGAGGGCTGGGAGAGTGCTTTTCTTTTTCAGGTCCTAGTACATGGCATATAGTAATAGAGTTGGTTTGGCGAAAGGAGGTAGAAGAGAAGGATGTGTAAAGGCTGGGAGAATGCCTGGGCTTTGTGGTAGGGAGTCAAGTGCAAAGTTGATGGTGATGGGATGAAACTGGTGGCCCTGGAAGGATAAAGTATTTAAACCAGAGCAAGAAATCTAAATTTGGTTTTAAGGCAATGAGGAGTATGGAAAGTTTAAACAATTTTGGAATACTAGTTTGTTTGGTAACATTTGTTGCCTGGAAATCGTTAATTAGATAATTGGACAACACCTTCAAGTGTGATTGATTAAATTTTTACATTATGAAAGTAGTATGAAGTATGAAATTTTGATCTTTATGTTGAAAGTTTTAATGTGTATCTAAGATTATACAAAGATAAATAAAAGTTCCTTTCTTTCCTCAACTCTCAATCCTACTTTCAAATAGTAACTAAAGCTGATTTTTTTGTTTGTGCTCAAATGCAAGTTTTTATGAGCATCCAAATGTATTTTTCTGTCTTAATGTAGATGCGGTCATACTATATATATCACAGATAACTTTCTTTCCCTTCTACAATACATATTAAATTTTGCATATATTTAGAATTTTCTTTTTTCCTTTAATAACAAAACTTATTCATCTGCAGGTTGACTAAAATGTATTTCTGCTTTATTTAAAAAAATTAATTTTCAATTAAAGTTTTCATTCAATATTTTGTATTAGTTTCAGGTATATGGCATAGTGGTTAGACAAACATATACATTACAAAACAATTCCCCCAATAAATCTAGTACCCACCTGGCACCAGACATAGTGATCATAATATTGACTGTATTTCCTTTTCTGTGAGATACTTTACATCCCTGTGAGTATTTTGTAACTACCAATTTATACTTCTTAATCTTTTGTAGAATTATCTTCTTAAAACTTAAACCTGAGTTATCATTCCTCTGTATAGAGTCAAGGCGTTTGGAACTCTACCAAATTCCTTAAGTCCCTGCCAGAACAGGCCAGGCATTCTACCTCTGTTCATCTTGCCATTTCCTTACTGTGCTTCAGTTTCACCCCTTGAGTCTTTAAAAATTTTATTTCTAGAACATATTAAGTGCCTGGATAATCTAGGGTTTTTGAACATATTGTTGCTTTTGTCTAGGTTCCTTTCTTCCAAATTTTCCCATGGTGTGGTGACTATTGTTTTTATAGGAATGCAGAATTTATTATCTCCAGGTTTTAATTTGAATTTTACTTAGGAAGGTCTCTTTCTGAGCAGTTTATGTAAGTTCCTCCCTCTCACTGTCTCCCTTAGTACTGTTTGTATTTATTTCAATTCTCAATCAATTTGTTTACTCTTTTCCTCTCATAAGTTTCACAAGGGCAACAACTATTTCATGTGGTATTAGTGCAGTAAATATTTACAAAATTAATGAATAAATAGATGAATAAGAATGCCTGAATCAACCTCATTATTTTAAAGGCTGTGTAATATTCCATTTTATATATGTACGAAATAAGGTACCAGTTCCCTACTGAAGGTCTTGTTTTTCTGCTTTTCTTTATCTTTATTTATCTGAAAGTATTACAGGTGTCCGTTTGTTTTTTTGTTGTTTTCCTATTGACCTCCTCCACCGGGACCTGCCCCCGGCGGGTCTTCACCAGACTATTGTCTGTGTCCTGGGCTATGAATAAAAGTTCCTTGGTTAATCTCTCCCCCATTTTCTTTTCTAATCAGAACACCACCAATAAAATGAAAATAATGAATATTTGCATACCTCTTTGTGTGTGTGTGTGTGTGTGTGTGTGTGTGTGTGTGTGTGTGTGTGTTTAGGGTAACATAAAAAACGAAACTGCTGGGATGAAAGACGTATGCCTCAAGTTTTTGATAGATACTGACAATTTATTTTGAAAAAGATAGTCCCATTTTATATCAGTAGTGAGTGTGTTCTTGTTTATCTTCAGGTCATCACTTATTGCTCTTACCAAACTTTGATGAAAAGTGCCTCTCATTGCTTCAATTTGTAACTCTATAACTGTAACAAAAGTTGAACATATTTTATATATTATCCTTTTAGATTTAATTTTATGTAAACTTAGTATTTAATTATATACTTATATTTCCTGATGATTTTTGGTCTTTTTTTATTGATTCAAATTTTGTATTAATTTTTTTTCTGCCTATAACCGTATAGGGGTTATACTGTGTGATATGTCAATTAGTGTCATTTAATTTAGAGCTACATGGTGCTTTTTGTTTCTTTGAAATTAGTTTTATATAGCCCAATAATAAAACTAAATGTGCTGTAGAACGTATTGGAGCTGAGTGTATTTAATAGTTTTATTGTTGAAACTGATAATAGATTTTTAATGTCCAGTCTATAATATGTCCTCAATAAAACATTTTTGGATGAATGAATAACAAGTAAAAATCAATTTTTAGGGTAGTTTGATTTCACTTGGAAGTTCATTTATTAGAATTTGCTTTTTGTAGTAGGAAAACTTAAAGCAGTAATGATTAGTTGAAAGACAAGATTTTTTTGTGACAGTTTATAGAAGTGTTGGATTTGTGGCAGTTAAAGGATTTTTAGAAGATTTGCTATATGTAAACATGTCTTTTTATACACACACATTCAAAATATACATATATGTAAATAATGCTAAAATATAACTAATAAATTATAGTAATAATCTTTTAGCATGTGCCTTATCTCTCAAGGTAACGAACATTTTAGATAGCAATTGATTTTTCTTTCAGAATATCTTTTGCAAATATACTATTACACTTTTGAAAGAAAAGACTTGTTTAAAGTTTCCTCTGCTTCTTACAATCCAGTCTCCATCGGCCAGCACTCTTCCTGTATTTTGTTCGCGAGGCACTAATTGTCCGCATTTGGCAGGTTTAACACTTCCTGACAGAGAGGCTATTAAGGGGAAGTATTCTCCAATAACTGTCACTGGCTCCAACAAAGAACCTTCAAACTCAATGTGTGGAAACCACTAACATTCTTAAATGACCCTTTTCATGATTTTTATCCCTTTAAGCTAAAATTTGGAGAATGTAGGGTCAGCAAGGTGTAATAAAGCAGTAAACCTTGATTTTTTTTTGGGGGGGCTGCGTAAAATGGGAGGTATAGATTTATCTCTGACTTGAAAACAATTGTTATTTTGGAAAATCTCATTAGCAGATGTGACTGCTTGGAGTAAAAAAAAAAGGACTTAAAACTGATGTCGCTTTCAGGACTGCTTTGAACTTAACAAGCACCTATTTGTGGAGCAGACTGGCTAATGAAAGGAAATTAAATTTTTCTGACAACTTCCCCTGCCAACCTCCTTATTCAGGGGATGTTATTAGGTACTGAAGACTTTTAAGGAAGATTTTTTTTATTAGACATAAATGAACCAGTTATAAACATCCCCTGCTCTCCCTTTTGGGGAAGAATTCTGGTTACTCTACATTTTTATTTAAAGTATTCGCTTAAAAGCTTAAAAAATGCCTTCCCTTTAATATTTTAAAGTTATTTTCTAAAAAATTCAGGCATGCTTACCAGCTAATGGTTTCAAAAAATCATTGTCATTCTTTGTGATAGTTTATGTCACTGATTTATAAAAAATGTTAAATTTACTAGGAGGATGTATATAACACCTTCTTTCAGCTTTCTCTTTGTTATTATATGGGGAAATGTTTTAAGAATGCCCTGAATGAGGCATGTTAGGTGAGCGTTGATCAATGAAATGGTTTAGATTCAAGGAAAGGTTTTGTCTTTTCAGTGGCACTTAGCAGTAACTAATCCTTACATTCATAAACTCTTACCTTGTACTGTTTTGGAATGTATTTTCTTGGCTTTTTGGAAATTTTCCCCTTATGTTGAATTTCTGTTTTTAAAGATAAAATAGTAAAAAGGTATGAAATAAAAAAGAAGAAAGAAAAAGTAATGGATATTTCTAAAGGATTTTTATTTTATTTTATGTGGAGGTGGGGGGAAGGAGAGGGAGAATGGAACGATTGATAATTCCTAGAGATACCGGGGAATTTACCTTTTTAATCCTGAAAAATCTATTGAGCTTTCCCCTAACAATAGAGAATCAACTCCCCCTGCTGACAGAATCTAGGAAAACATGACATATAAATATCAGAGAGACAGAAACAAGCTGGCTGTAGACAAGCTTTAATGATCTGATTTATGGCTTAGTATTGATTGTAAACATCTAAACTCTGCCGTTAAACTTCAGCAACTGCACCAAATCATTTGGCAATTCTGGTAGTGCTTCCTGCCAGCTCATTTCAAACTGCTTTGAGTTTCTTAATATAATGATGATGAGGTAAAATTTACATTCCACTTATGGTATTAATTTTACATTTCTCTGAATGAAAAGAGTTAGAAGGTTGTAAAATTGAACATTAAATGAATCAGAGGAGACAGTGGTGCAATATATGACTGCCCTAAAGACATTGTGCAATGGCTGATGGGATTAATGTTGGGTCTCATTTCCTGCTTTTACAGGATGCAGATGAAGCTGTCAGAATTGCAAAGGAAATTGGTAAGTTCTTAAGTTAACTTTGGTAGAGATTCTATGTCTTTTAGCAGATATGGCTGAGTAAATAAGAAATTCCCATAGAGCAAATAATATTTTAATAGTTTAGGTTTCTGATTAGTTGTCGCTCTGGAAGAATTTATCTGCCGAATTACCATATTCTATTATTATAGTGAACTTTAAAGAGTAGTTTGACCTTAATTACAGCTCTTTTATTAGATGAAATCACTGACTAATTAAAAGAAGGAATTGTCTTAAGAATTCTTGAGCTTGAATGTAATTTATATGTGCGGAGTTGAATGAAATTTATTTAAAGTTAAAGAACTTATATGGTTAAAACAAAGATATGTTTAACAAGGCTCTTCCAAGATGTTGCTTTTCCTAAGATATTAAATATCACCAATTTTGGTAGGAAAGAGAAAATAGTATGTGAAAAGTTAGAACTGAGTATTCTAAATTGGAGTAAAAGGTAAACTGAAGGACATTTTAATGATTATTTTACTTGGCTGTTTTAGGTAGAATTGTACCAGGGCAGTGTTTCTCAACTCTGTATTTTCAAAAATATTACTGGAGCTCATGACAGTTACTGTATTTTCACTTTTAGCTAATTAAGGAAATGTATGAGGGGTACATTAGCGAGGCAATGAAATAACTACAGTCTTATTAATCAAATTACTATTTTGTAGTTGATAGATATTTGCAGATATGAGAGGAATTAGACAATACTTGGTAGTCAGGAATTCACAGCACCGTCTAAGCATTCCTACACTGATAGGGACAAGTTTTGTAGCCTCCCTCCACATGAACATTTCTTTAGTTCTGTTTTCTCGTTAAGATTGATCATTTAGACTTAATTTATTCATTTGGAGAGCTTATCTTATTCATTTGATTTGGCATCGTTCACACAGTTGTGATTTGTAGAAATACCTTCACGGCTTGAAAATGACCCCTTTTATTAGTGAACTAGAGGTCCGGTACGTGAAGTCCCTGCTTGGGTGCAGTAGGTCTGGCTGGCGATCGGAGTGCAAGCATCTGGTGTGGAAGGGCAGGCCAAAGTTGACCTCTGGGCCCTTGGCAGCACCTGGACCCCTACCCGCCCCCCTCCGCCTGAGTTATGGCGCCGGAGTCCCACTGTGGAGATGTGGTGAGCATGCCCGATGCCGCAGGCTGGGGTATAGCATGGGCCTCGGGGCACCCAGTGGCACACACGGAAGCCGGGCAGGCAGTGCGTTCTCCCCCAACCCCCCGCCAGCCTTGCAGACCGGCTTCTGCATGAACCCATGGGGAGCCCTACCAGCTGCTGCAGTCTCGGTGGCTGTGGCCTGGCTCACCTGGAAGAGATGAGTAGATTTGGGGTGGGCTCCTTGTAGGCGCCCGGCACCTGAGCTAAGGCTTCCCTGGAGCACGAGCCCTGGCATCCCGGGGGAGGTTAGCAGGGGGAGTGAGAGTGAACTTGGTGGACCCCCTGCATTCTTACTGCACCTCTGTCCTTGTCACTCCCACCCCCTACCTGGTGCCTCGGGAGGTTGGTTGCTGCCACCCACCCTCAGTTCCCCCTTCCAGCTCGGGGCGCAGCCTGGATTTGCTGGTTGCTGTCTGCTGGATGATCAGTGGCACCCACCTTAGCCTGGCACTACCATCCCACTGCAGTTCCACTCTTGTAGGGGCCCATTGAGGCCAGCAGCACCTCCAATGCTGTCAGCACAGCCTGCCATGTTCCAAGCTGCCCTCTGGTGGTCAGCACACATCATAGTAAGCGGTTGAATTCCTGGTCAAACAATTTGCATACCAGGCTTTTATTATATAGGATATTTTCTTTACAATAGAGACAGGTGAACTTATCAGTTCTTCAGTGATCTAAAAAGATATTTGGCTTGTTGCATCTTGTTTCTGGTTGGGTTTGGCTAAATTATTTGGTGTTGGCTCATAATTACATGTGCTTTGTTTTGAAAACATTTTTCTTAATAATACAGGTCCTGGATTTAAGAGTAGGCCCTAGAAAACCATATTTTATTTTAGTACAACATCTTATCACTAATCATTTCTTCAGGCTCATCAATTTCAAAGAGCATTTCAGTACTTCACAGGAAGAGCTGCTAGATTGCTGAAGAACTGATTTGTCTTTTTTTTTTTTTTTTTTTTTTTTTTTTTTAGGCAATCAAAAGCTTCTCTCTGTAGTTTGAAATCACTGGCATTCTTCAGAGCCTAAGAGGCATGCAGCATACCTACTGGCTTTTGAGGAGACTTTCCTAAAATAACTTCATGTCATTCCATTGTGTACTTTTCGATTTCAAATGTCACCTTTCTAATTCTAATTTAGATACTATTGTTACTCTCTACATAATGGATATAATATATTATCACAATAGTATCTACATAAAATGGGCAATAGTTGGGGGAATTTGGAGAAATAAAAATGGGTGAGAAGAAAATCTTGAATTTCATTGACATGCCTCATTTTAAATTATAAATCTTCAATTCTTGAGCATTTCCTTTGTGAAAATGGCAGGCTCCAGATTGGTTTGCTTGTTTTCATATCTTGTTTCTACTTTTTCAAAATAATCAGTGACCTTTAAAATAACCAGTGAGTCATGATGGGACTCTGACCAATTCTCATCACTTGGCTTTCCTCCCTTAATATATTTATTTTTATTTTTATTATTTTTTCCCCTCCCTTAATATTTAATGCTGTGCTTTACTCACCTTTCAGATTTTCACTACTGATTCAATCTAAGGCTCTTTTCTTTATATTTGGGGTCATCCTTTTATGACTCATTCTTTCCTATCTTCTAGTTTTTTCCCAGTTAATCCTTCCCATTTGTAAAATAAATGATTGCAATCATGATTATTAAGTATATGAGTGCTAGTGTTTTGCTTAGGCTGAAAGAAAGGGAAGCCATACAGTTTGAAGTGAAATAAGACATAATAAAGAACCAGGAGTCATCAACTTTATAAAGCTTTTGGACTTTCCCTGAATTACCACGGAAACCTCCCATAAAACCTTTTTTTCTAAAGTGGCCAGCTTCCAAAAGAAATGAAATTACTTATTATTAAAGTCTCTTGGTTTCCTGTATTGTTTTAGTGATTCATCAGTTTTGTTTTCTACTAATTTCATTGAGATATATCATATTTTAACTACACACAATTTCGATGAGCCTTTGTGAGTTTATCTTGAGATGAATTGATCATTGCTTCCATGAGAAATATATTCCCAATTTTAAACAAGTTGTGAATTGTCCATGTGTCATACCTATTTGTAAATTTCTCTATTTTACTTCTTTCTGTGTTTCATGATAAAATGAAATTGATCATCTTTTACATGGCCCCTTCTCTCTGATGTCTTTACTTCTCTTCTGGAAACAAGAAAGTAAATCTATTCTTCCAAAGGAAAAAAACTAACTGCATTGAGCATTGTTGAATTAGGTGTCTTTTACATAATAGTAGCTCTTGTTTATGGAGCATTCTTTCCCAGTGGAAGGCATTTTGTGAATGTTATTTCTAATGCTAATCCTTGGGTTAATTATTTTCATTTACATTTAAGTAACTAAGAATTAGAAATGGTAAGTAATTTGCTCAAGGTCACTGGACTACTGAGTGGTGGGCCTGATTTAAATTTAGGTTTCTTTAGCTCTAAAAAGCATGGATTTTTAATTATACTTTGGCTAAACTAATGGGATTAAAGATGATAGCTAAAACGTGAGTCAGCACTGTGTTTAAAATAATGTAAAAACAGTTAAGCATGTTATATGTGGAATTCAAGACGGGGTGTGAGACAGTTAAGACCTAATATGTTACTTCTAAGTCCTTGTTCTTTGGCCTTCCTTGTCTTTCTCATTCTCTTTCCTGATTTTTTCTTTGACCTCTCTAAGTTTAAAGATACAGGACTCTTGATCCCCAGTTTATCTTTAACCCCAGAGATAGACAACAGAAATCAGGGAGCTTGATTTGCATTAAAGTTTGATCTTTTTACTGGATCAAAGGCCCTTAATACAATTAAACCAAAGTTGATTCTTAAAAGGAAAAGAAATTGTAAATCTAAAACCTACCCTTTAACAATTTCCAGATTATTCTCATTCTTTTCTTTTGCCTGTCTTTTCTAAAATCACAAATCATGCGTAATTTAAATTTTTTTGATCCTTAAGTCCACCATGCTCCAAACCTGGTTCTTCTATATCTTCTACATCTCATTAAATGTCACTTCCATTCACTCAGTGACTAAAACCCAAGTTCTATCCTAGTGCCTTTCTTCCTGTCATTCTATTCTCAGTCTGTCAATAGATACTGCCATTCTTCACTCAAAATATCTCTCATACTCACTGCTCATTATCTTTACTACCAACACTCTCTTCCAAACTACCATTGTCCTTACAGGGACTGTACTTTTTCTTAAACACTTCAAAGCCATTCTTCACATAGCATTCAGTGTATTTTTTAAAATTCGAAGTAGTTGAGCTACATTTATCTCATTTCACCCCATCCCTTCTTTAAACCCTCTCATGGCTTTTCATTGCACTAAGATAGAATAAAAATTCCTTACCCAGACTATAAATCTTTAATTTGGCACCACCCTTCTCTCCAATCTGATTTTATACTACTCTCTTCCTTTTACTGTACTCAGTCACACTGGCTTTCTTGAACACACCCAATTTCAGGGCTATAGAATAAGATGTTTTGTTTGCTTATTTTTTGTAGTAGGAGGGGAGCCTGGAATACTCTGGTCGATGTCCTCACATGAATGGCTCCTTGTTACCTCTTGGCTTAAATGTTCTGTCTTTGAGAGAAGATACTTAGTATTGCCACATGATCATTCCGTCATGCCTATGTTCTAAACTACTGCATAGTATTTATGACTTTTGTATATTTTTCTTGTTTGTTAACTTTTACCTCAATATATTATTTTGAAAAATTTCAACCGTAAGACATTTTGAAAGAAGTTTACATTGTGTACCTTTATACCCAACACCAAGATTCCACTATCTTTCTTTTGCTAGATTGGCTTTATCACT